TTAAGAACTGGTCACTTTTGACTCTGAACATAACTACTTTCAAGTAGTCTTGGGGTTACGTTTTACTTTTATTCTTATCAAAATACAAATTACAGAGTCTAGAATTCTCTGAAATTATTATTATGAAGTGTTTTCTTTTTAGGGAAAATTACATAGCTGTTGGTAAAAATATACAAAAATTTCCTTTAGCTTTTCACAATGACAAAATAGGAGGTCAGCTACATATTATATCATTGGAATAAGGCTCAGCTTAGTTTGATTGCAAGTTGCTTGAACTTGAAATTACCTAAAATTAGCAAAGAGATTTTTTATTCACGAGCAGATAATGAAATTATGAGATACTTTTAACGTCCATTTTTTTGTTTAAATATTCTTTTTTAAGAGTTTTCGTAAAATCAAGTAAAATAAATCTGAGCAATTTAATTATGAGCATGTTTTCAATATGAATCGGATGTTTTTAAAACAATTTCATAACTAAATTGGTTTTGTCACAAAAACATATGTCTCCCAAAACTATGCATGGTCACTCATGTGAAGTTTAATTGAAATCCACCAGTAACTTGACCTGTGAAAGCCGGACAATATATTTTTATTTATAGCTCCAACGACCATTTTGTGCAGCGAAGCGAAATGTGCTGGTGATGGTGTGTGCACAACTAGGGGATATTTCCGCTCTCTCCTGTAAAGTTTGGTTGATATTAACCAGTAGTTTTGACCAGTGAAGGCCAGGCAAGATATTTCTGCTTTAAGCTTTGGCGGCCATTTTGTGCAGCGAAACGAAATGTGACGGTGATGTTCACAACTTGGGATGGTACTGATTAGGGGGGCCTTGATGGCCGAGTGGTCAAAGTCGCTGACTTGAGATCACAGGTCCCACACCGCTGTAGGTTCGATCCTCACTCGGGTCGAAATCTTTCATGTGAGGAAGCCATCCAGCTGGCTTACGGAAGGTCGGTGGTTCTATCCAGGTGCCCGCTCGTGCCTGAAATAATGCCCGGAGCACCTGGGGTCTTCCTCCACCAATAAAGCTGGGGAAAAAATTGACGAAAAATCTCGGCGGGACAGGTACTGATTACTCCTAAAGTTAAGTTGAAATCTCACTTGTAGTTTGACCTGTTAAGGATGGACAAGCTTAATGCGGACGAACGGACAGACAGACAGACGGCGAAGGCAAATACAATACGTCTTTCATGCTGGTATGGTTAAAAACATGTTATAATTATAATGTATTTGTGCTATTTTATACTAATTTGAAAATGATGACAGCTGGTAAGTAATATATTCTGAAAAATTCAACATGGTTGCCATCTTGGATTTCGACAAGCATGTTGGATATGCAAAATCTAGATCCAAGGCTTGAATATTAATAAATATGCTATGCCATAATTTTAAATAAGTCTTATTTTATACTGTTTCTGTAATGACGACAACAGCTGAAAAACTATTACATTCTAAAAATTTTAATATGGCGGCCATCTTGGATTTTGGCAGCCATCTTGGATTTGCACAACCTGGATCCGGGGCTTGAATATATATAAATGTGTAATATAATAAAGTGGTGCTATTTCATACTGACCTGTAAAGAATAAAGCTGAAAAACTTTAATATTTTGAAAAATAAAAATAAATGGCGGCCATCTTGGATTTTGGCGGCCATTTTGGATTTGCACAATCTGGATCAGAGGCCTGAATATAAATTAATCTGTAATATAATGAACTGATGTTTTTTATACTATTCTAGGTATGACTACAGCTGAAATACCCAAATATTCTGAAAATTTTAATATATGGCGGCCATCTTGGATTTTGGCGGCCATATTGGATTTTTAAAAAGTGGATCCCAGGCTAAAATGAATTGAAATACCATTTCCTGCCACCATGCCAAGTTTCATGCTTTTCACAAGAGGTGCACAATTCACCCTATTTTATGCACGGATTTCTTGGACTACTAGTGTGACTGGGGTTTAAGATTATCAAAGATCATTAAAAATTGACGTGGATGTTCTTCTTCTGTAATGGCAGAGGAAATCAAAGGACGACAAATTTTGCTGTGTATCGGCTAAAGCACACCAGAATTTGATGATTTTGTGAATCACCTTATTATTAAATATCACAGAAGTCTGTGTGGTATTTTTTTATCGACGAAAACGCAAAATTGCTGTGGTTATTGTACGTAGTAGCGTAGTCAGTGTCATATAACTTGGAGAATTCTTCGTATATTAAACAGGATTGTATTATAACAGTACTCAACAACGGTTTTTAATTATTCTCATGTATATACATGTATATATTTTATAGATGCAATAGCTAAAACAAAATAAATTCGACAGATGGTCCACAACTTGTATTACACTAAATAGCTGAACTTTTATTTTAAAGTATTGTTCATAATCAAAATTAATAAAACAGATAAATTATTCAGATTTTGTTGTCATTGTTATATGATAAAAAGGGTTAAAGTCAAAACCATTACTACACAGAGGTTGTTTAGTTACGAAAACATATGCAACCACTCTTACACGATTAACAGAAAGGTTTTCACTTGAAGTATTTTTGTGCGATTTGTACCTATCCAAATTTAAACATATTTTGTTGCAATAATACGAAAATCTGCATCAATCAACAAACTTAAAATTGTGATAGATAGATTTCTGTTACAGAAATGGAAACAAGCTAGCTTGCAATGTTTATTTAGTTACATAAACGTGATTTTAGCATAATAAAGACCTTGACTTTCACATTGTTGACGCACAAACTTTGTTGCAAATCTCATAGATGCGCGTCATTATAAGGTGAGCTTCATAACGTGGCGTACAAACGAATCTCAAGAAATGAATGAAGGAATGAAAAATGAGCAGATACATCTTTAAACATTGCTCAAATGCCCTGCCATAGCTTTCTTATGCGTCCTTGATAGAGATACAACTCTAATTGAATTGTACCTGGCCACCAGCCTACCCTTATCGTCTGCTTCTGAGTCAGTGATAATTCGTATCTAAGGAATTTGGCGGGAAGTAAAGGCGGGAAACGAAATGTAAATATATAACTGATAAGCCTCATTTAATATAGTACACGCGTTTCTGTTTACGTTCAACATTCTGGGATGATGCAATACTTTGTGCGTAAAAGATTTTGAAGTTTTAAGTATGAAAACATTAATATTTGATAATACTTTCTCAAAATATTTATCAATAATGCGTAAATGATATACCTTACTGCGTCAATATGCATTTCTAATGATGTTATCAAAAGAATTTTAAATATTCCTAACTCACGAGGGTACGAGTATAACAATATCGATATTTGAAATGTGGTATTTTGTTTTTTATGTATAGTACTGTTTACCTCTGCAAGATGCTGTTTTAAGAGAGTTGCCCCTAAAGTTCATAACTTAGTACTTTCCATAAAAATGATATGTATTTTTTGTAAGTGTTTCTCGTCATTATATTGCTATTTATTATTGTTTATGTTTATATATGTATAAAAGGACATAATGGAAATAAGTTGTATGTTTATTATGTACTCTTTATAGGTCACCTTCTCAAAATAAAGTTATTATTTTCATTATTATGTAATGCCCAACCTCAAACTTAACATAATGAAAAGTAACTGGTAAAATTTTCATTTTCAATTACTTGTAGAAATTAAATGTTAGCGGCATTTTTGTATTTCTAAATATTAAGAAATTACGAATTCAAATTCAAATTTCTGTACGTGCGGGTATTTAGTAATGGCATAACATCAGGAAACGAAAGGCGAAAAGCTTGCAAATTGTAAAGTAAACCCAATAAAATATATTACAATTTTATCCTTACTTTACCAAATTGCGATAGTCAACATAATTTCTCGTGTACCCGAGAAAAAAAATGAAAGCAACTAGATATTACATTCTATTCTATACCAATCTGTTAAACAAAGTCATGAACACTTTTCGTACATTTACTATCTACCTTTAATTACTTCCACGTAGCAACAATTCCCAATGTACGGCCTACAACTGTGGTGGCTTATTTTTTTGTACCAAATCAGCCACCATATACAACAGTAGTAACTTTGACAGACAAAATATCTACAGAGAGAGGGATACGAGAGGTAACTCCGATATAGTTAGTTTTCATTTCTCTGACTTCTATTCAATTAATTATTTCACAAATATGTTAAATGAATCGAATTTATTTAGCTTTACGGAAATAACTGAACAGAGATAAAAACAAATGGCATTTAAGTTTCTAAAACTGTTTTATTTTCCACATTATGTATCACAGAATGCTTTATAAATACTCGTATAATCAAATCTACAAGATACAATATAAAATAAAATGATTTAAATTATAAAGAAATAATTGTACTATAATATATTCCCTACAAAAACTATTTTAAGAGGTCAATTCATGTTATATATTCATAACTGTATGATCATCCAGACATTGAAAAAAATTGAAATGATGAAAACTTTAAAATTCAAGAATTTACATATAAACTATACTTTATGCGTATCACTCGTGTTCAAAATACATTTTTTTATCCAAAAGTCAAGAACTGAAAAAAAAACTCTTTAAAATTTAATTTTAAATTTAATCAACAAAAATGCAAATAAAAATAGATAACAAATATAAATCATTTTAACATTACAAAATTAATTGACAATAAATAATACATTTTATTATACTTTATAGCATATATCTATTTCCATTACTATATTTATTTTCCAAACACTTACCCACACTTAAATCATTAACAAACAGCCAATTTCTCGAATTCATGGAAAATTGCACTAAATTCTTGACTTTGAAAAAAGCTTACATTCATATTTTCTATTAAAGTCATTGTGCTTATCACAGTGTACATGTAAATGTCAGACATATCTTACATTCTGCCATTATTAAATTTTATTATGTATGGATTAGAGTGCATATTGGGTGTTCTTCGTAAATAAGAAAGCTAAAAAGGAGCGGAGCTTGCGAAGCGACTGTAGCTTTCTTATTTACGAAGAACATCCAATATGCACTCTAACCGGCTTAGTGCTCCGCCCACTTGCGTTTTATAATATAAAACGTCCAGTTTATATAAAATCTGTTCTATTAAGATTTGTAACCTGAAAATTTGAAAAATCCTCGTCGGTGATTGGCTTAAAAAAATTGGTGAGCACTAAGTACTTCACATGTATAATCAATAACCTTCACGACTCACGAGAAATTCTATAAATAATATTGGGAATGTATTGGTAATGTTCAATTGATAAAAAGAATGAGATGAAGGCATTTATTACATTTTATTATCAAATATTGGCCATCCACCATTATAAAAGTCAATCTTAAGGAATATATAGCTTGCCCACCTCAAATTGACAGCAAAAAGATGAGCATTATGTTACTTTTTAAACAATTAACGGTACTCTATAAGATTCATTCGTAGATATGGTATATTCATATATCTAAATGTTTAGATGAAAAACCAACAATTTAATATTATATAATAATAATCCGTAAATGCAATTATAAAGGTACTTAGTACTGGCAAATTACTTAATTCAGTATCACTTTAGAACACTGTACTATAAAATGTAAAGAAGCACAAACAAGAAATATTACCAACTGTCTTTTTTAATGGCACTAGGGTCCTTTTTTACACATGCATATGCTCAATTAATTGATCATTCTTTTTAAAAACCATTGTATATTTTCTATCATTTTAAATGCTATTATTGATCTTTATAAATGCTATTACACGAGTCCAGTTTTTTTAACAGGCTGTTACATTCAATGAGTTTATGCATGCTTTTGATATCATTGTATATTTTCTAGTAACCTCTCAATCAATGACAAAAAACATTAAGATACATCCCATCACAACAACCTACATGATCGTGACCTTTTAGAACTTTTCTTCTTGTAAACAACCGTGTCCTGTCTACCAATAACATTCCTTTCATTTTCGTTCAGAGTGATATGTTTGATTTGCTCCGACTTTGTATTCTCTTTCAATGCCTCTTTCACCTTTTCCGGGAGTTCAAACATTGATATGTCGCGCATGGACTTTACACCTAAAATCTGCGCGAGACGATCTTCCATGTTTGCATACTTGTACTTCCGGTCGTGATCACGTAAAGCTAGCACAAATAGTTTCTTATTGTCCTTTCCAATGACAACTATGAGATTCATTGTTGGAATGACTTCAAGAAATTCTGGGACACAGTGAAGAAATGATTTAGAAATAATCTGACTGTCGCTGACACGACATACCTTCACACATGGTGCCGGGATCGTATCTATGTAGATAGCGTGTTCACCTTTACTTGATAACCGAACACACGATATGTCACCTTTACTAGAATTAGGTAGCAGCTTTTTAATACGCTTGCATCTCTCAAGTTCAAATACCTAAAACAATAAAATTTGAGAGTATGAATGGAAATATTTATTGACTGTATGTGAAATCTTGCAAAATATTTTTATATTGGTATCTTATTCTTAATTGGTATCAGCAAAACTTTTTTAAACTAGAAATGTGTCCATAGGACACGGATGGTCCCACACGCCACTGTTCTGTCAATCTTATGACTCTAGGTCAAATATTTTTGGACTACATGTGCCACAAGTTGAAAACTAAAATCAACAAAGGGCCATAATTCTGATAAAATTTGGTTGAAGCAAAAATTCCTTCCTTTACTACCATCTACACATTAAGGTTGTTCAACCCTGGAAGTTTAAGCAAAATTTGCCATCCAGTTTAAGAGGAGTTGCATTCACAAAATTTCTATATGGTATATAGTGAAACAATCAACAAAGGGCCATAATTCTGTTAAATTTGGTCGCAGCAAAAATTCCTTCCTTTACTACCATCTACAAATTACGGTTGTTCATCCCTGGAAGTTTAAGCAAAATCTGCCACCCGGTTTAAGAGGAGTTGCGTTCACAAAATTTCTATATGGTATATAGTGAAACAATCAACAAAGGGCCATAATTTTGTTAAATTTGGTCGCAGCAAAAATTCCTTCCTTTACTACCATCTTAACATTTAGGTTATTCATTCCTGGAAGTTTAAGCAAAATCTGCCATCCGGTTTAAGAGGACTTGCGTTCATAGTATATAGTGAAAAAATCAACAAAAGGCTATAATTCTGTTAAATTTGGTCGCAGCAAAAATTCCTTCCTCTAATACCATCTACACATTAAGTATGTTCATCCCTGGAAGTTTAAGCAAAATCTGCCATCCAGTTTAAGAGGAGTTGCGTTCACAAAATTTCTACATAGTATATAGTGAAAAAATCAACAAAGGGCCATAATTCTGTTAAATTTGGTCGCAGCAAAAATTCCTTCCTTTACTACCATCTACACATTAAGGTTGTTCATCCCTAGAAGTTAAAGCTTAATCTGCCATCCGGTTTAAGAGTAATTGCGTTCACAAAAATTTCTACATAGTATATGGTGAAAAAATCAACAAAGGGCCATAATTCTGTTAAATTTGGTCGCAGCGAAAATTCCTTCCTTTACTGCCATCTACACATTAAGGTTGTTTATCCCTGGAAGTTTAAGCAAAATCTGGCATCCGGTTTAAGAGGAGTTGCGTTCACAAGATTTCGGGACGTACGGACGGACGGACAGACGTACGGACGGATGGACGAACGGACGGACAAGTGCAACGATATATGCCCCCACTTTGTGGGGGCATAAAAACTAAATGATCCATTCATTTGATTCAACAGTTTTCTTACCTGTAACTCGGAATCAATACATATTGACCCATCGTCGGCAATATCATTGATTCCATCATGACTGACCTCTGTAAGGGACCCTATAGCACCAAATCCTTCTGTTTTGAATGCTGTTACAACAACCTTCATGAAGAAATTTCATTATTAGTCAAAATACTAAAACTTCATATTATGAATCAATACATTTTAACATATTCAAGTGTTTTGTTAAACAAGAAGAAAAATTTTTAATAGTTATTTTCACTAAACTTTAGAAAATTATGAAAACTCTGGTAGTTGTTATCACGGAAATCAGTTATTTTGGACTCTTTTTTTTGTAAAAAAAAACAAGTTTGATTATATATGACTGTTTTTAAAATCATTTTGATTATTTATAACTCTAATTTCCTATGTTAATTTAAAAATCTAAGGCAAATTAAATGTTATCTACCTGCAATCCATCATCCACGGTAATTAGTATCAGGTCAATGACCTCACTGTAATGTATAGCGATGACATCACCAACTAAGTCGATGGTCAGCGTCTCATCGTCTTCCATTGACTCCTGAATAAGAAGCTGCGAAGGTCCAATCCCAACAAAAGCGTTAGTTTTAGTAAACATTCCGCTTGTGCAATTGTTGAATTTACCAACAACTTCAAAAGCGGGGACGGAATAAAGCTCTGCTTTTTCATCTGTAAGTATGCACATGTACTCTCCCTTACTTGAAAGTTTTACACTTTTACACCCTGGCACTGACAAGGTTTTGAGAAGCCTACCGGTTTCAATGTTTATCACAGATATTGAGTTTGCCTGAGTGTTTCCTGTGCAGATGACAACGACGGAAGCGTCCTTTGAATTGGCAATACTTAAGACATGCCCATATCTATCAAAAGGAAGTAGCGTTCCTGCTTTTCCGGATGCTAGATCGATGATTTCTACTCCAAAGTAATCAATATAGTGGTAAGCTTTACTGCTTTTTGGCGGTTGAACACGGGTAAGGAAAATGATATTACTCTGATTAGAAAATGCAATATTTTTCACGGAATACTCTTGCTGTTTGACAGACGACATCTTTTCCATAGTCAACACTTTCTGAATGTCCCAAACATTGATTACCGGTCCGTTCTGTTGCGCAGTTACTGCTACAGGGCTGTGCTTCCCGACGACTAGATCATGTATGTCATTATTGTGAGCCTGAAATACCGCAACCAAACTTCCGGTTATGGAATCCCACATCATAATATTTGGAGATAACTCTGCTGCTAAGACAAATTTGTCGTCTGCAGAAAATTGAACTTGAAAAAGATAACGAAAAGGGTTTGGACCTTTTGATATTTTTAAAAGCCTTGGTTTCGTACTGACATTTTTTAGACTCCAGACAATTGGGTACTTCCTTTTCACAAGACTGACGAAAGCACCTTCTTTATTCGAAATACACAGTTCCGAAACTTCCTGAGAGGCGTAACTATCAGCAGACATTATTTCATCAGGAAATGAGGTCTGGGGACTGTACGTCACGACTTCCTGTCCAAAGGTCGGTGACAGATCGTTAACATCAAATATTTTAATTGCGCAGTCGATTGTCGTTCCAATGATGGCTAATCTTCCATCTGAGGTCAGCTGAATACAGCTGACTGAGTTTGTGATAGAAAGCTGTTTCACGCGTTTCCCAGTATATATTTTATACATATCAAGGCTTTCATCTCCGATCAAAAGGTACTTTTCACATTGCGTAACGCCTAGCTCGACGTACGAGTTTACTTTTCTGTAGCTGTTAAGATCACGAACTTTTTTACCGTGATGAATTTCATAAACAGCATTGTCCATACAAACATAGTTCCGACTCACTGTGATGTCATGAAATGGTTGATGTGAAGACAGTTTGTGCTCGTTAACTATCCGGAGACTATCTGTTTCAAGTGTGTAAATATATTGACTTCCGGTTCGACATTCGCATACGATATATCTTTCGTCACGGCTTGGGTATAAACCAAACTGATGATATGATTCAGACTTCATTTTTGGGAGCAATATCTCGCTAACAAGAGTACCTTTACTTGTATCCCATGACTGCACACTTCCATTAAGGCAAATTGATACAACTCTTGTATCCTTCCGCACTAGTAGGTTGTCTCCATTATCGGCAGGTGCACTTTCGATGGACCTAGTAAGAGAACTTATCGGAGCTTCATACATTTGCACTGGAATAACGACAGACGAATGCACAATACCTTGCTCGTCGCATTTGTGAAGAAGTCCGCGAATTTTTGGCATTGTGTTAATTAAGTCGAGCAGACGACCTGTTATCTCTAACGCTAGATTATCTGGATAATCGTCAAGAGTGCATCCAGCAATGCGTAAAGTGTCGGCAAGTGCTTGCACCTCGTTATCATCGAACACAGTTAACGCAAGTTCAAAATCTTCAACCACAAATTGCAATCCTGATGCTTTAATCTTTGTCCATAACCAATGGTAATCAAACAAGCAATTAGTATACAGGTCCTCTTTAGTTCCGCACTTTATCAAATGAAATGGCAGCTCTGTAAGTTTTCGTTTATTGTAAAATGTACGAGTCTTACTACGACAAAAGACCAGTGGATGAGCAGGAACATTTCTATTTTCAGCACCGTCATCACTTGTAAGTGCTAATCTAGATTTGAGAAATGTACTGTATCTGAATGGTTTGTCTTTACCGTTCCAAGTGCCGAGGAAATATTCTGAGATTTTTTTGTGTATTTTCATTTTTGTGTCTTCGTCATCCAAATATCTCTCTGATGCAGCTTCTTTGAACATTCTATGATACCAGCTAAAGACCTCTATATCCCCAGCGTCACGTTCGACAAGAAAAACTCCTAGTTCCAAACGAAGCCGTGTCCACAGAAATGGGGGAATTCTACGTTTCGGTGGCAACCAGAACAGAAATATTGAGTTTAGGACTTCATCGTCAAGAGACAACAAATCTAACAACTCCATTTCAGATATCCCATCTCTAGCTGCTGTTATATATGCAAGCGTATGTCTGACCAATACTTTCCCATGGTGCAATTCTAGCCGCCGGAAGAAGTTATTAAGCGCCTCTTTTAACGAAGAGGATACCATTTCTAAACTAACAGAGGTATAAGATTTCCAGGTGAGAATTTCTTCTAACATGACTCTTGAAAAAAGCGGCAGACTGCATTTTGAGAACAATTCTTGTAAAATTGCGCTCTGGTTTGCTGTAATAGTTCTGTCGCATTCTGTAAGACGGGCTTTAACTATGTCCATGCTATGAACGTCACCTAGTGACGGGAGAGGCTCCACATTTGACACCTTGTCCCCGAGATATACTTTAAAGCGTTTGAGCAAATTAAACACAGACGGAACGAATGAAAAAATGATTTTGACATTTTTCGGCAGAAACTTAGGCAGCCATTGGAATGTGAAAGGGTCAAAGGAAACCGACAACTGGTCCATGGAATCTAGAAATATGAGCAGCGGTCTGGAGTGTGATGATACTCTCTGTAAATAAAAAGTACATGTCCCTTTTTAAGATAAAGTAAATTTAACAACATAGCAGATGACATCATTCTAAACGCTAACTAAAATGAAAGCGTTGTACAAATGTTGTACACGACAATTGCAGACGTAAAAGGTCGATTATTGTAAGAGCGTATACAGTATGGTATTAATCAAGAAACATGTTAAGCAATTGTTGATAAAATATAAAACATTTCCTTGAAAAACATAAACATTTATGGGTAAACAAATATACATTCAATGACGTGCGCTTATCACATACCGAAAAACAAAAATATATAAAAGTACGGATCTGACAGTAGAGTCTACGGTGCTAAATAATCTACATGTATGTTGATAAATAAAAGAAAACAAGAACGACCGCAGACAATATATTAAAGTACATGTATTTCAAAACAAGGAACGACCGCAGACAAAATATTAAAGTATTCCAAAAGCAGACAATATATCAAGGTATTTTAATCAAGGTAATATTAACACAAATGTATTACAATGATAAAAGACAGTTATTCCCCTTTCTATTTTTTTAATAATCTAGACTAGTAATTTACCAGCTGTAGAATGTTGTTATTATTAATCAATACATGGACATTATTATTTACCTTTAACGTTTCTGAGAAAAATGCGACCAATTCTTTGAAATCGGCTGGAATGTTACAGTTACTAAAGCCATACGCATCACAAATTTGCGTACACAAACTTTGCAATGTGAGCAGAATGTGAGAACTACGTGGACTAGTTCCTGAAATAAAAAGAAAACTACTTACTTTTTTATAAGTAAAGAATCTAGAACAAATTCTATAAATTTTAAGTTTTAAAAAGGAGGAATTTCCACTATCGTCAGTCAATTTACAATAAAGGAGTAAACCTTGAAGAATTCTTATCACAACTGTTGTCACATTAACTGTGATAGTCGGTTTGAACAACCTGACGATGGACGGATGACAATGTTATACCGTACACCCCAATATCCTGTATCCTATTATTCCAAAAACATAGATACATTTGTATGTGCATTTTGCAAGACGCTCACAGTCAAATAAGAACATCAGTTATAATATGAGATCTCTTTTCTTTTTCTTTTTATTTTTGCTCAGCTTCATGTCGCACCAACACAGTATACAATGTATATCATATAACGACTTTCAAGGAAGACATCAGGTGTCCTTCCGTCTTTCTTGTATTAGATCTATATCATACAAAAACGGGCACCCGAGTAGAACCAGCGACGTTACGTAAGCTATCCGGATAGTTTACTCAAATGAAAGAATTCAAAGTCCCTGTCAGGATTCGAGCCCACTGCGTTGAAGTGGTTTGATGTCAACGGCATTAACAACTCCACAATTATGATTTCAATCATGGTCGTTAGCTAAAATATATGGGTTATGTTAATGTGGACATTAGTTTGTATTTTACCTAGAAACCTCATCACTATTACTGGTTTTATAGAGGTGATCCACTTCCGAGCTTCCTTGGCACATTTTGCGATAAGCGCAGTCTTTCCAGTTCCACTCTCTCCATAAACTGCCAATGGACGATTATTTGCGGTATCTTTCAAGTATTTCTCCATCGTTTTCAAAACATCAGTCCTACCAAAGAATATACTACTCCACTTGTTACGTATAATTATACTCTGGCGTATTTCTTTTGTCTGCTCTTCTTCGTTAAGGTTCATCTCCTCTAAATTCAAATCTATCAACCACGTCATCTTGTCATAAAACGCTTGAGCCAATTCATCTAAATAATCTGAGTTATCTGAGGGACTTATACCTGAGCTATCACTCCACTGGGTTGAAAGACGAACTATATTGTCTTTGTTCAGTTTTTGCGGTATATCATTTTCTCTTAACAACTTTAACCTATCTTGAGCGTCCACATCAATTTCTGCGGGACTACCATTTTCAGCCGGAAGTAAGTCGATGAATTTCAATGCTCGGTGGTTGTGTATGTTTTGATTCAAATCTTGTATGTTTCGTATGAAACACAAACATTTCTTATTTAAATCATGTGAGTTTTGAAGTAGTCCCAATTCTATTTCCTCCTGTGTTACTGAAAAATTAAGAAACGAAAGTGAATTGAAACAAAAGTTGCGAGAGGACAGCGTGCTCGACTATTCTCAGTCCTTAACAGTAAAACAGGGCTCTGGATAATGTAGTTTTCGGAGTTATAATACTTTCCAAAAAAGTAAAAGTTATGGGCCTTGGACAGTGACACCCAATTTTACTTTTAAATGAGTGTGTAAAGTTTCAATCTATTCCCTTCAGTACTTTTGGAGATACCAACTTGTACGCAAAAACTTTTATCTAGCTTAAATGTACTTTTTATATAAGCCAAAAGGACCATTTGATCTTCACATTTCATTAATTTTGTAACGTCTGTTAGAAGACGTTAGACGACAATGATTGTTCTCAAGTCTTCAGTTGGACTATCCAAAGAAAAGGGAAAGCCATTGTATTCAGACAGGCGTCGGTCACAATTTGATTAAATGATTCTAAAAATTGTATAAAACAGTCTTTCAGTTTTCTTAAACTTAAATTCAATGTGACGACAAAAAATAGATCATACAATTCATTATTAAGTTCTTCATTGTTACAAGTTCATTTCGAAGCTATAACTAAATTACCTGAATTGAAATATTTTTCCTTTGTTTGACCACCAATTTGGCCGTTATCAAACGCTTTCTCCGCACCAATCATGAGAATTTCCCGAAGTTCTTCAAATGTATCCTGCCACTCGTCACGTGATGCCTTCTTCAAATCGTCATTCTAAAACAGAAAACAATATTCTGATTAATGATGTTAAAAGAAAGTATAAAGTAATAATGTTCTTGTATACCGGTGACCTTAGTGTTAACCTGATCTCTTTCAGTGTATATAATATCAGTATAAGGCATTTGTTCTTCAAAAGTAATTACATGTACCAACTGGCTAAAATTCATTAGTTTTATAATCTACTAAATTGTTTCCTCAAAGAATTATGATGCATGCTTTCTAAGAAAGTAAAAACCTTGATTGTTCCTCCTTTCAACATAATTTTTGAAATGAAATCTACAGAGAATTATTTCTTAAAGGTTAAATTTTAACCAGGTTACTGTATAGAAGGTCAGTAGTAGAGAAGACCTATAGATTTATTACAGTCGGGCAGACAGGAGATCTGTCTTTAGTGTACGGGCATCCAATGGTACATTGCGTAGACAAGCGTCGGCCACTCAAAAAGTACAGTTAAACTGGTACCTAGAATTTCAAACTAAAGTCAGTGCAGCCAATGACTGTCTAGAATATCTGATTGGTTCAATGAACATCTAAAATATATTTTACCGGGCTTATCGTAATTCTTTAATATACTGTCAATAGGTTGAAGAACATATTGTGAAGGGT